AAAGAGATTTATTATAAGGGATTGGCTTGTGTGGTTTTAGAATCTGAGAACTCCCATGACCTGCTGTCAGGAAGCAGGAGACCCAGGAAAACTGATGGCTTGGTTCAGGCTGGGTCTGAAGGCCTGAGAACCAGGAGAGCAGGTGCTAGAAGCTCTAGCCCAAGTCTGGGTCCAAAGCCAGGAGAAGACTGATGTCCCACTGTGGCCTGTGGAAGGCAGCCAGAGAGATGGATGCTCCTTACTCCTTACTGGCCTTCGATTAGGGATCCCCTAGATTGATGCCATCTGCACTGGTGGAACCATATGTTCTGCTCAGTCTACTAATTCAAAGTCAGGCTCATTTAGGAACCCAGAGGTCTCCAGAATAATGTCTAACCAAATATTCGGTCACCCCTTGCCCCAGTCAAGTCCTCACATAAAGCAGCCATCCCAGAAGGGCATTGTCTCAGGTCACTGTGAACAGGGCTCGGTTGATTACTACCACGAGAATCACCCGACACCAGCACCCTAACCTCGTGACACCTTGAGGTGACCATGGGGCCGGCATCCTGGTGCCCAGGAGGTAGACTCTGCTTCAGCTTTTTTGTTTTCCACCCACAGAGCCCCCTCCTCATGAGACAGCTGGTGCTCACAGACCCCACGAGAAGCCAGGGTTCACACCTCATCCCTTCGTGGGTGCTTCCCACCCCAGCCAGCTTCCTCTGCTGGGGTTCCATCCACCCCTGTGTAACTCAGCATGCTTGGTCCTCAGCCCAACACTTCCATGACTTCTTTGGCCCCTGCATCCTGCCTCATAGAATCTCGCAAAGATGACTACTGGCAATGCCTACTGAGCACGTGCCTGGCCCTGAGTTCAGTGCTTTCCATACCCCACCTTATTCAGCATTCCCCACATTGCTATTCACTGTGTAGCCAAACTCTACTTTTACTGAGGAGGAGAATGAGGCTTATAAGGGTTAAATAACTTACTTGGCTAAGAAGGGCGGAGCTAGGAGACAAACCTAGCACTGGTTTCAAACAGAAGATTCTGATTATTCACCATGAAATTGCCTTAGTCCATTTCTGCTGCTGTAACAAAATAGCTTAGGCTGAGTAGTTTATAAACAACAGAAATTCATTGCTTACAGCGAGAGAGGTTGGGAACCTGGGGTTTGGTGAGGATTGCTTTCTGCTTCCAAAATGGCATCTTGTTTCTTCATCCTCACATAGTGGAAGGTGGAAGGGAAGCCGGCCTAGGCTAGTTCCCATGAACCCTTTCACAGGGATACTAATCCCATTCATGAAGGCTTTTCCCCTATGATTTAATCACCTCCTAAAAATGTCTCCTCTTTTTTATGTTTTGAAGCAGGGTCTTGCCATGTAGTTCAAGCTGGCCTTGAACTTCTGTCTTCCTGCTTCAGCCTCCCAGAGTGCTGGGATTCTAGGTATGTGCCACCCTACCCAACGAAGGCCTCACCTTTTACTGCTATATCATGGGATCTTAGGTTCCGGCATAGGAATTTAGTGAGACATAAACATTTTCAAACCACAGCCCTGCCTTACATAAAACACAAATATTGTGCATATGACGAACAGTCACTTAAATAACATTTCTCATGGAGCTAAAATTCTTTGTGAAAATATTTATTTTTATTCATTGCTCTGCACGTGAGGATCTATCTTTAAGTTTCAGTTTTAGGACAAGGTTTGTCTTTGCTCATGGACTTGTATACTTCTCTTCTTAGCCAAGAAAAGAATTTTAAAGCTTGGGTTTCCCCAGGCTGCTTGGAGGGAAATTTAGTCCTTAATTGCAGCAGCTGCTTTGAATTTACTTGGGAAAATGCTCTTGCCTTTCTTGAACATGATTTTATCTCTATGGATGGTTCAGTTGCACGTTTTCTTTCCCACTAGAGTTTGAGCTTTTTGGGTGCAGACACTGAATGAGTTGAATGTGTATGTAATTTGGCAAGCTGCCTTTTTTCAGGAGTAAATTATGTTGGTATAGCAAGTGGGATTCAGTGGTGAATGCTTTTCTCTGCAGAGTAGTCATCATTTATTCTGTGGCTGACCTGGGGTGTGGATTGGATAACGTTCACTTGAATATAATTTTATTGCTTTGGCTGTAAAAATTTGTGTGGTGGATCCAAAGCTTCAGATATCCAAGTAAAAGGAGGTAATGGGAAGACATTTATAAAATGCTAAGACACTGGAGAGAGTGGCAATGGGGTGGAAAAGGAAGGCTTTTAGCTGCTGTGCTGATCTTAGTGAGTTTTGCACTGGGTAGCAACATCAGGGATTAGGGCAGTGTCTTCCCAAGTTTACAAAGACTTAAACATGGTTAACAGCTGGAGGGGATAATTGGGTGCTGGGATCAGTGCAGAGGACAAAGCTAAAACCACATAGATAGCATTAGCCAGGGCAGATTCCTCATCAGCTGGGCCTGGGCACTGACTCCTGCTCAAATGATGATGGCTCCTGGCCCCAAGAGATTGGCACAGTTTCTACACAGTCCTAAGTTATACATCTGGTTCTCTTTTTAAATCCTGTTTGGTCTGAAAACTCACTCGGAGAAACAAGGTGATGGCAGTTGAAGTGTTTTTCCCAAGAAAAAAAATTCTTGTCTTCTGCTTATGGGTCAGGATGGATTTGGAGACATCTGACTTATAATTAGCTGAAGACGCACCTTAGAACTGGCCAGCGCACACATTCTTTGTGATCAGCATCCTTCGCCTTATGATTGGCTGTGGATGTACACTGCGTTAGTCTCAGAAGGAGTGAAGGGAGGTTTTGCAGCTGACAGTTGGCTCTTGCCTCAGCCATGTGTCTGTTTTACTTTTTGGGGTACTGAACATTTGTGAGAGTTGTCCTAGTTGTTATGATGAGCTAACAGTACCTTTGATAGAAATAGAGAAATCAGGAAGTGTAGCCTGATTTTGTAGGAGGATAATTTGTTTTTAGACATCTTGAGTTTTAAATGTGGGTTTGACTCTCAGGTGGAGATGTCTGGTGTTTAGCTGAGGCTGCTTAGGTGAAATAGCACTTGGGATACTGGAGGTCTAGAACTTATTTCTTTTTCTGGTGTGGGAGGGTACTGGGGACTAAACCCAGGGCCTTTGCACTGTGCTACAGCCCCAGCCCTCTTTATTTTATTTTATTTTTTGGTTCCAGGGATCGAACTCGGGACCTTGTGCTTTCAAGGCAGGCTGTGGAACCTCTGAGCTAAATCCCTGGCCCTGCCCTCTTTATTTTTGATCTGAGATAGTGCCTGACAGTGTTGCTAAGTTCCCCAGGTAGGACTTGAACTTGTGATCCTCTTGCCTCACCTTCGCAGAGCGCTGGGATTATAGACGTGCACCATCATGCCCAGTTTATGATTTTATAATTGTGCTTTTGGTCAAACCCTTCCACTTTTAGCTGTTTCATTGGGTGATCTGTAAGTCAGCAGCTTTCAGCCCAAGCAGGGACATGCTGCTATGACTTAGGTTCAAGGGAGAGAAGAGGTAGCATCCTGCTGGGCCTGTCACTTAGCAGTGTCACAGGGGAAGGTGGCAGAAGCCTGGTGCCAGCCAGCACCTTCGTACCTTGATCAGGAAAGGTTGCTCTCACTTGGAGTTGTCTAACCAGTGTCTTTGAGGGACAGCAAGGTGTAGGTACCCTGAGCATTGTCCCCAGGGACTTCGCATTCCCTTGTGGGGTTTTCCTGCACTTTTACACCTTGTCACTCAGGAGGGTCACCATGGCCACCTGCACAGATGCCAACCTTAGAGCCAGAGCCTCTGCAGGTGACTTGCGCAGAGTGCCGGGTGTGTGGGGAGAGGCCCAGGGCACACTTCTTTCCCACAGAACCGTGGTGGGGAAGCCTACAGCCTCGGTTGGGTACTCAGCTGGGAGAGAGATCCCCTCTTCCGGTGCTGCTCACTCCCCCTTCCAGCTCTGGAGGAAGGAAAGGTGTTATTCACCTGTCCCAGTCATCCACTCCACATACTTCCTGCCTGTTGGCCTTCATTCTGCCCTGATATTCGGAAGTCTTCTTAGCCTCTGTTCTAGATGGGGAGAGAGACCCAGGGGTATGCAGTGACTTGCTCCCCATGATGGTCAGAATCAGTGCTCCTTCTGCAGCAGGGAGGACCACCCAGCCCACTCCTCTCCCCTCTCGGCTCCTCCATTCTTCTTTCCACCCTTCATTCCCTCGGCCCAGAGCCCCCCACCTGCCTTGTGCTGGGGGGACTTTTGGGTCCCTCTGGCGGCCACCTGGGTGCAGGAGCTTTGCCTGCAGGAGCTTTGCCTGCAGGTGTGTTAGTGTGGGCTGCTTTGATTTCCTGTGGGAGTGCTGGAGGCTGGTGCGTTTGGGGGACACCTTGAGGTGCCACCTCGAATCACAGCGGGGCAGGCAGGTGTGATTGCCACTTCAGAGTCTGCGTGCTCAAAGCCAGTCATGCAAGTGGTGTCTGCATCTCAATCAGGCTTGGCAGCTGTGCCTTAGAAATCCAGCCACAGCCGCCCTTATTTTCTAAGAGCTTGGGCTCTTCTTACCCGCTTTAGGTGCTGTGCAAAGGGAAGTTTTGGGGAAAAGTGAGATGCTTGGCTCTCTGGGAGATCACAGCCAAGATGCCCAGTCCCTGGGCCATCCATCCTTTCTGGGGTGCTCGGTCCATCCTTACAGGCATCAAATGTGAGAATTATTCAGGCCAAGGAAAGCAACAAAGGGTATTCTCATTTGTACGAAGAGGCAGTTTGACAATGACATGATGTGCTGTGGTTGACAAAGACATTGTAGTTCAAATTTGCAATTAAATGGGGGAAAATGTCAAATGAGGGGAAGGTAGAACCTAAGATCCCCTGGGAACTGCTCAGGCCGGTGAGACCCAGGGAATATTCTGACTTTCCCTTCACCGATGTTACTGTTACTTAAAAAGGAACACGGGCCATCTGAAAACCGGGATGGTCCCTTAAGGCAGGGAAGGAGGAAGGAATGAATGATGATGTCTTTCTCTCCCCCTCCCCCATTCTCTCGTAAGCAGGGAAAAGATGCCGTTCCACCACGTGACTGCCGGCCTGTTGTACAAGGGGAATTACCTCAACCGCTCTCTCTCTGCTGGCAGTGACAGTGAGCAGCTGGCTAACATCTCTGTGGAGGAGCTCGATGGTAAGAAATCCACTCTGCTCGGGAACTTAGCCACCCAAGGGAGGCCTTTTTGGCTCTTGGGGACCCAAGGGAAAGCAACAGTTGCTACCAACTCTAACCATGGTATATGCAATGGCAAAGAGTTTAGAGACAAAAATTTCCCTAAATGACATCTTTGTATGGGATGGACCTTGTTGCTTCAGAGTCAATGGCAAATGTTTTGATTTCCTTGGATACTGATTGGGGAGTGATCCTTCACCTGTCTTAAAATGTGTTGTCCGCTATCCAGAGTCTTTGTCACTCATAGAATTGCCTGGTTTCTGTAATCATTTGCGGTGGAGCCCAGCTGCAGGCGAGGGCTGAGTGCCACTAATGTTGGTCTCTTGACTTGGGGCCATGTTGCTTTGAACACTGGCCAGTTCAGAATCGCTGGGAAGCGATGTCTAGGTGGAAATGGGCAGCAGTTATTTTAATTACCTCTGTTCCTTCATAACCCAGCACAGCCCTGGGTGTTCAGGACAGGCGTTAGGGAAGAGAATAAATCTGAGAACACGATGATCAAATTCGTCCAAGGATAGTGTCGCATTGTATCCTGGGTAAACCAATCCTCTGACTTAAAAGAGAAAGAAAATGAGGTTGACTTTACAGATACATGTGCTGAGGCCAAACCGGAATCAATTTCCCTAGTGTTTTTTAATGGTGTGTTCATTGTAATACTGTCTTACAACATGAAGTTTAAATTTGGTTGTAATGTAGAAAGGTCAAAATTACTCTGGATGTCTCTCATACTTGCTTTGAAGTGTCATGGTCCAAACTGTTGTGTTTGCTGTGTGCTCAGTGATAAGTGTGACTTCTCACAAGGGCTTGAGGAAGCCAGACTTGCTGGGCATTGGGCAGGAGGTGAAGACTGCCAAGAGGACAGCTGAGGATGGCTTTCCCTTCCCTTGTCCATTTGGTTTGCATGCTTGTTTCAGTGCTCAGAGCAGGGTCCCAGGAGAGGCCAGGAGATTTCAGAAGCAGCAGTGCTGTGGGCAGGCCCAGGCTGGACAGGGACCTGGTGGCCTGAGAGGAGGGTGGAACCCTCAGATCTCCTGGCCTGCAGCTGCCCAGAGGTGGGCAGACAGACGCAGGTCATGGAAGCAGGCAGAAGAGCCCCTGCTGGTGACCACAGAACAGGTGGGGCTGCGCTTGGGTGACGTCCTGGTCCATTTGGGCTGTTTTAACAATGAACTGGCTGGCTTACAGACTGGTATTTATTGTCCATAGTTTGGGAAGCTGGTGGCAAAGTACTGGCCGTTGGCGTCTCTTGAGAACCTGGGTCCTAGGTCACAGATGGCACCGGATCCTCCTGGGTGGAGGTGAAGGAGTTTCCTTGGGCTCCACCAATCCCATTCATGGGGGCTCTGCCCTCCTAACCACCTTCCTCAATCCCCCACATCCTAATATCACAATGGTGATTCCGTCTCCATGTAGGAATTTGGGCAGGAGACACACAGACATTCAGAACATAGCAGGTATATCTGGCAGGTCAGGCAAAGCCTGGGCTTTCCCCACCCTTGGGAGTCTCTGCTGGGCATGGAGATGAAGCGGGACATGGATGTGGGGTGGGATTTTGCTCATGTTTATTTGAGCTGGTCCCCCAGGCTTGGTCCCTCATGATCAGGAGGAACTGCGAGGCTGCTCTGCAGGCCATGTGAGTGGCCCTGGGCAACTGGGGAGGGCCACCTGTGCGTTTTGGGTGAGCCTTGCAGAGGCTATGACTACTGACCAGAAGAAGTTAGGGAATAATCTATGGCTTTCCATGTGCCCCTCCTTCCTCTCAACTCTGCCCTGAATAATCAAGAGATGATCCCTGCTGCCAGTCTGGCCTCTGCTGGGGCTGTTGTTGGAAGCCACCCCTGGCTGCACTTTTCAAGAGGATTACTTGCTGGATCCTCCCCTGCTCCATGCAGGATCCTGGCTTAGATACCCCCCCACCCCCCATTCTTGGGCAAGCAGCAGAACCCACAGGCTTGCTGTTTCAACCGGGCACAGGCAGACCGGGCAGGGCTGAATGCAGAGAAAGAGGCCGGTAGGAATTCCAACAGCCCTCAGTGCCCAGCTCGGGGTCCCTGACCATGGCCAGGCCAGCGCACAGTGGCTGGAGGCCGGCTGGTGAGGGTGAAGTGTGTCCTTCAGGAAGGTAACGCAGGCTCTCAGCCTGTTATTTTCTGACTAGAGATTCATTCTCCTGATTATTTATTTTTTTGCCAAGGTGAACGCCGAGTTAAGATTCCTTTTGCTTTATTACAAGCATCTTGGGGCGCCGGGAAGGATGGTGCAGATGTGCTCTGGGTTCAGAGCAGGCAGGCAGGGGCTGGACACTGGCGGACCCAAATTGGTCCACACGGCTGTGAATCAGATCTCGGGGAAGTGAGTTCCCAGGCATCGCCTGCTTGCTCTTCTCTTGGGCTGCCTCAGGTCAAGCTGGTGCTGAAGTTTTACTGCTTGGGCCACTCATTCATCCTCAGAGGACGGTGGTGGTGCGCAGGTTGTCAGTGCATTGGACATGGTGGGCACTGCAGCATCCTCTGCAGTCTAGTTACCTTGAGCACAGGTGTTTGCTGAGTACCAGCCCCTCTGCTCTCCACCGCCCCACACTAGAGCAGCTGCAGCCTACCGCCTGTGATGGCCACAGGGGCAGCTTCTCTATCTATTTAGCTAGATTTTCTGTTCTTTTTTTTTTTGGTACCCAGGACCGAACTCGGGACCTTGTGCTTGTGAAGCAGGTGGCAGAACCACTGAGCTAAATCCCCGGCCCTTCTATTTAGCATTTATCACCATTGATGCAATGTCCCCAATGTCACCTTCTTTCAATGCATGGGCCAGAGACACTCAGTTGATGAGTGATTACCCTGGAGAACCTGCATTAGCTTTCCTGCCCCTGGGGCAAAATACCAGACACCAACAACTTAAAGGAGGAGTGGTTTAATTAGGCTTATGGTTTTGTGTTTTCAGTCCATGGTCACCTGGTTCCAAGCCAGGAACAGCATGGTGGAAGGGCCTGGTGGAAGGTTCAGGAGGGAGGGAGGGAGAGAGAGAGAGAGAGAGGGAGAGAGAGAAAGAAAGAGAGAGAGATAGACAGGCAGAGCCAGAGCCAGAGGCAGGGACAAGAATGCACCCTTTCAGATCATGCCCACAGTGACCACCTTCAAGTAGGCCTTGCCTCTTAACAGCACATTCAGCTCTGAACCATGAGTAGAGTGCCCCATGATCCAGTCAGCTTCCACATATACATGAGACTTTTGGAGGATATTTTAGGTATATACCATAATAGTGCCAGTATGAAATCACTCACACATCTCTAGCTACAATTCACTCCTGGGAAGTTGCTATTTCTTTTCTTTACACAAAGTTCAGGAGGAAATAATACAAATCCACATCAAGTTGGGCCAGATTTTACTTAGAAATGATGCAGCCAAACTCCACAACACTCATTCACTTCTTCATTCCGAATCATTCATTCCTGTTTATATCAGTTCACTTTTTCTTACTATAATGAGATACTTGAGGCTTGGTTCTTTCTTTCTTTCTTTATTTATTTATCTTTTTGGTACCAGGGATTGAACTCGGGTCCTTGCGCTTGCACAACAGGCGGTGAAACCACTGAGCTAGATCCCTGGCCCAAGGCTTGGTTCTTTATAAAGAAAGGATTTTATTTAACTCACAGAGCTGGTTGTTTCAAGGCATGGTGCTGAAATCCACTGAGTTCTAGTGAGGATCTCATGGTGGGTGACATCACAGTGGAGAAGCATTTGGGAGAGGGAGAGATGGAGTGGTGAGATGAAAGCCAGAGCCAAGCTGAGAGGAGCCAGGATTGGTTAAGGTGGGGCCTTAACTACTTCTCAGTAGCCCCACCTCTTCAAGATCCCACCGTGTCTCATTTCATCACATTGGGAACCAAAGCCTCCGAACCATGGGGAGTTGGTGAGCAAACTACATTCCAACCATATCCCCATTCATTCATTCATTCATTCACATTCATTCAAGAAATGTATACCCAAATGCTTTCCAGGAGGAAAGTTGAGTAAGTGTTCATTCATTGCCTGTCTCCAAGGAGCTTACAATTTATCCAGACAGTTTATAAATACGCATATTGTATTAGCAGTGTCATGTGGGACTTTATAGATATAAGGATTATAATTTTTTAAACAGAGGTTTTCTCAGTGTTATTTACAGAATAATGTTGTAATGCTGTCTTAATCTTAAATTCACCTCTTGCCTAAATTCCTTCATTTTCATTAATACAGTGTTCCCTCATTTATAAATACACCTCAATTTATTTCCTCCTTCTGATCTTGACAGATATTTGGGTTGTTTCTGGTTTGGAACTATTCCGATCTAATCTCATCCTCCTTTGTATTGCAGCTGTGGTCTTGGTAGCTCTGTGCATGGCTCTCTCTTCCTGCTTTACTGAGGCCATGTTTTAAAATTCTCCTCATCCTTGGTCTTATTAAGAATGATTTCTCCTTTCTTAGAATCATTTTTTCCATGTCTTCCCGATGAGAGTACCTTTATTTTTCCCGGGATGTTCTTATATGGTCTATGTTGCCTCTTTCTATTCTTTTTGATCTACCAGTATAAAGTTCTTCGTAAGACCATTATTAGTCACCAAACAAGGGTTATTAAAGAGTCTAAATATGTTATGTGCATGTACCAATTCCCCAAAGTGAATATCACTGTTCTGTATTACAAATAAAAAAAATTAGCTTTAATTAAAAAAAATGTGTAACCTTCTTCACTTTATTCCAGACCTGAGATAATCTTCCTCTTTTCCACTCTAGAGCACAGAGAGGCTGATGGCTGTATATCACCTCCACTTTCTAGAAGACATTCATCTAGCCCCTCCCTGGATGGAGCTGGGATATTACCGGTCTTTACTCTTGATTGTGCCACAGAGTTATCTAACTTATCATTCCTCCCCTCCCCTTCTCTCCTTCCTGTACCCAAACTGGTATCCACCACTCAGTCATCGCAGTAAC